GTTATATATTTTTATGGAATAGAGTTATAAATGGATATTCTTGTTCCTTACGTAAATATAGGTAGTTTTGCTGATAGGATATTCATTCGTTTCTTTTTTTTTACTAAATCTAAAGATTCTAACAAAAATCAAACTCTTTGAAGATAGAATAATACATATAATAATACTAGAAAATTATATATATTATTTCTCGAATAAAAGTTTCTATTAAAAATAAAAAAAAAATTTTTTTTAAAGGAATGATTTATTTATTGACTGAACTATGTAAATCATTTTATCTCAAAAATATAGAAATTTTATTAATTTTATTAATACTAGACATAAATGGCAAATTTTTGTTAGAAATCGCGAATAGTAAGTGTACTTACTTACGTTTCGTTCCGCACGAGTCGAAATAAAATCGACAGCGAATAAAAGACGACGAGTTAACGACGTTTTTTTCCCTCCCTCTACGACGCATTGAAACGAGTAATGAAACTCGGGTTTTTCGCTTCAATTTGTCTTCCCGTTCGGCACGCGTACCCGCCACGAGAAACTTGATTAACGAAACTTCTTCGCCCCGCGAATTTAATGGGATTACGTTCGAGAATCTCGTTACATTTTCATCGAACTTGCTCCTCGCGGTTTTTGCGCCCATTATTCACGAGTCCAAACAGATATGAGGTTTTCGAGACGAGAGATACGATCTAAGATGCACAACAATATAATTGGCGCGAGACCTTGGAATCGATTCCTCCAAGATGATCAAACGAAAGAAATACGATTTTGTACGATGTATTTTCTTTTTCTTTCGATAAATAATTGAATATTTAATCTTCATTTGGAAAAAAAAAGACTTAAGTTTTTTTGAAAAAGTCTTTGAAGAAAGATTCAGATTATTGAATATAATTTATTTGAACGCATCATTATTGAAAACGTGTAGAGTGTTTTTTGATTTAATTCCTAGAGATGAAGCTGTTATGTTTTTAAATTGGATATTGTGACGGAATCATTAGAATTATTTCATCTTGTTATAGCTTAATAAGTAAAGCCTCGACGGTCTTATAACTGATATTCACACAATCGTATTTTTATTTATTCACGAATCGTTTCATTTATTTAACTAATTAAAGATCGATTGAAGAACACCCTGCATCTGTATCCAATTTGTTAGATATAAGATACGAGAAAGATTCTGTAATTAGACAAAAAAAAAAAAGAAACTAATAGAATTCAAGTATGCGGCGTTAAACGGAGGAAGTGGAAATTCAGGTATTTAGGGACGACCTCCTGCGGTCCTCCGTTTCTTCTTTCACCACGGTTCGTCGGTTTCGAACAATGTTCGCGGAAATAGCACGACGGGTCATCGTCTGGTGCGAGGCCAGGCTTGGGAATATAACCGAAAGGAAGAAGAGGGTAGAATAGCGAGACGAATGCTTTAAAGACTGATATCGTTATTCATCTGTAAAATCCCGAGCGTCCTTTGTAAATTAAGAGGAGACTTAAAAGAATTCGTGTCGATAAAATTTCGCGTGATGATACGCGTTCACATTGCTACGAGGAAGCGCAGGTCTCGAAGGTACTTCTATGGAGACGCGTGTAAGTGTACTTAATAATGCTTGTCTGGCGCTGATCAAACGTTGTGCAGTTATATAATGGACGATTTTAATTAGGTTTAGAAGAGGTTTGATTATTATTGTTAATATAATTATCCTGTTTAGAATATTCTAAAAAGCTTATTTTATTATTCTTTAAAAGTATATATATATATAAAGAACTCGTATAATTCAATTAACCATATAACAAGAGAAAAATAGGTTAAATGAATAATCGAGATAAATAATGAAGACGGATAATGATAATAATTTTGGTATAATCGAATCGTCTCTGGGTCGGTTAACGGTAATAAGGGGCTGCAATGCACGCTTCTGATATATATTAAATAAAGAATCTGATCGATAAAGAATTATTCAGCCGTTGGAATTCTTCTCGCTATAATAGAAACGTTACACTCGCGAACATTTCGAACATACCGTTAAACTTTTGATCATCGCGTTTAATTGGCGTCCATTTTGAATTAATCGCTGCGGTTTTGCGGCGGAATAACGCGATTGACACGGCGGAAACAGGGGCTTCCTTCGTCCATTTCCGCATAATCCGGGGATATATTTTTTCGTAGACGTTCCATTCGTGATTGTTTCGTGAAAATATGCGCTCACAGATGGATGCGCGTTAACGGTTGTTCTCCACTCGTGGAAGCGAGTGAAAAAAAATATCGCCTCGACGATTCCCGACCAACGATTCTGACAGATGGACAGGCTTGGTCGTTACTCATCCACTTATTGAAGTGTCTGGAATTGTGATGCGCTTTTTGATCGACCGTTTCTAGGGTGTACGGTACCCGGTTCAAAATCAAAACATCTCCATCCGTTGCCACAATGCCGCTCCTTGCATTCTTCATCATCAAATATCTTTCGGCTTAGCTGAAGACGTTTCAAGTCTGTCTTTGTCCGACGCAAGTCACGAGAGTGTCCTGGAGTGTCTTACTCCAGCACCAGAGAGGCTGGAGAAAATAGATTTCTTTTTTTGAAATAGAAATAAATATTACCCTTTCTTCGAGGTATGATACCGTGAATTTTACGTGTGAACCTTTTCTTTTCTTCTTTGAATATATATTTTAACATCTGAAAATAATTTCGAAATGGATAATTCTCATTGGGGTACGAGAATATTTCAAATAACCAATTTTTTAATTCTAAAATTATTGGATATAGATGCATTGAACTCTTGTATAATCGATCTTCAAGAGATACGTAAAATATAATATGGAAATAAGGAAAAGAACGTCTCGTCGTGGAAATTATCGTTAAACACATTGGATAGATACAAATAATATTTTCTACCATTCGTTCAAATTTCTGTGCGCAAATATAACGCGTCGTATAGCGTGCTCACGCACAATTTTCCAAGGCGTAGACGCGCACGCAAGGCGCTCTTCTTCGCATGATCCCACGCGCGAACAATCGAGTCAAAGCGCACAGGCAAACACGAGGCGCATAACTATGAGCATTATGAAAAATGGAGCAATTGCTCGTTCGCGCGATCCTGATCAGGCTGGCGTTACGCTTGCGTGGTTAATTCGTAATAATCAAAAGTAATGAGAAAGCGAAACAATAACCTTGTGTTAATAATTATCGTAATAATTATAAAATACTTTAAGAATTTTTCTTTGAGCTTCCATCGGATTCTTAAATAATTTTTATATATCCTTGCGGTTTTGAGAATCAAATTATTTCGATGATACGTTACAGATTAATTAACATGCGTAATTGAACGATCTCAGTTTCGCGTGGCGCAAAACTTAATTTCGCATCACAGACCCTCGTCCGACCACTTCCGACCGCGCCAAAGATTAAAACGACCGCGGGATTTTTGTGAAAAGTGGATCTGCAAGTTTCGAGTCGCGCAAGGTCGTCCCAGGACATCTTAAATAACGGAATTCTATTCTTTATTCCGGGTTTCTATCCCCTTATCTTCGTGTATACCGCAACTGGATGGGAACTACTGCTATTCATCGCCTCGAATTATCCGCAACAATCCACGATCGAATCGCGAGAGAAACTTATTATATGTGAGAGCGAGAGAGAGGGGAAAAAAGAATCTTGTAAAGAGAGAAGACGAAAATGTATTATTTTTCTTTCATATAAGAAATCTTAAAGAAACGGTTATAAGTAAAAGAAAGAAGAAAAAAGTAGAAGAAATGGAATGGATAATTTTAGAAAATTTGTGACAATGTGATACAAGTGTCGGATAAACCGACACGATCTATAAATAACAAGTATTTTGCAAAAACTTGTACAAATGAGTCGATCAAATTTTAGGAAAAAAGATCGAACGATATTTATAAGAACCGTAGATGTACGTAGGTACATAACCTTAAACATGGCGTTAACGCGATATTATACAAGGTTAAAGATCCCATTACTATATATATATATATATATATAGATCTGAAACTTTGTGTCTCCTATCTCCCTTTTATATCCAATATTACCCAGGCAACTTGTTACCGCGAATAATGGCCAGGTTTGATGGTAATGATACTTAAACGCTCATTGGAATGGAAGTCGATGGCGCGCCCTCGCCTCGGTACGCGGCCACTGTATAATCCATTAGTTTCTTGCGTGAACAGTGGCAAAAAAGCAATGCAATATTTCAAAACTCCCGTCCCGGAATTAACTGTACTCGTTCATGGTCGGTTATAGCCAGTAGCAGGTGGAAATGATATTTTTAGTCGAAGCACTATCTTTTTTTTCAACCATATATTCTCTTTCGATATTTTGATCGAAATTTCAAGAAGGTCGAAGCTTTTTATTATCGTCGAATTTTTTATTTTCATCGTTGTTAACCCGATTTTTAAGGTGAAAATTGATGTTTAATTTATTTCTAATCAAATGAAACGCAGAAATGAAGAATATTCATCACCGGGAAGATGACTTAAAAAGTTGCAGAAAACAGAAAAAAGCAATTATTTTGAGTGAAAAACGCGTTTCACTTTTTGCACACTTAACAAATTAATAAACTTCACACGAAAATCTATCCATCTCTGTAAAATGAATGGCATAATATTAATTATTAACGAGATTACGAATATATAAAATATTTATGAAAATCAAATTACTCGAAAATACAGTTTCATGTTATTTGACATTTAATATATTATTATTATTATTTAGAAACTTGATCGAATAGATATTCTTTCAAATTGAAACGTTTCATTCTTGCAAACATTTCTTCTTACTCGATGCACTTTGCACGCAATGATATACCGTTCGTTTCATCACCTCGGATGAAATAAACGTCTTCCTTTTACCCCTTTATATATATATATATATTTGTCGTATTCCTGTTACTCGCAATTGTTTGATAAATCGTGACTATGTATAATTGACCATTCTTCGATAGACGGCCAAGTCATGAAATCATACGTGTAATTTCATAGCGATCCTCTCTTCTTCTCGAAACATCGATTCACTCCCCGAGTCACGCATGGATTTCACGTTCATCGACCAGGGAAAACGTATCATTAGATCGCGGAAATTAGTGGTTGGTAAGGTAACGCAAAGGATGTCTGTATGTGGTGCAAAAACATCACTTGAGAAAGAAATCGATTGAAGCCCAAAAGAAGCGATTGAATGTGCTGTACACTATTGCTCAAAAAGTGCATGGAAATCCTGTTTATTTCAAGTAAATAACGTGTAATCATGAAATATATTGGAAGAATTTGAAATTATTTTATTGTGACATTTATACATAATATAAGATAAAAATGTATCGATAACGGTGGAAAATTTTGTTTTGTTTGAAAAGTTGTATTTTTTTTTTTTTTAGCTTTGTTAAATTTATCAATCAAGTTCTTTCCATTTTTCTTCTCTCTTTTTATAACGTAATATTATTTATATATTATTATTATAGTAGAGTATTGAAACGAAATTTATCTTGATAAATTTTTCTGTCCATGATAAATACTCATATTTTATGCAAGTGTTACAGGTTCAAATTTCGAGTTAATTCCGGAGCACAAAAATTATTCAAAGAGGATGCGTAGCGAAAAAAGGATTAAAAGTCGCTGATTTAGACTATAGATGGTATACGAAGAAATGTCCAGTTATTCTTGTTTTCAATTATCCGTACGTTACTTTTATATTCGCTATAATACCTTTACAAACGAAACATCAATTTACCTTAAAATTACACAAAATTACATATTCATCATTCCAATTTATAAAATCTAGACATTTATTTATTTACAACCTATTCAAAACTGCTAAATAAAAAATTACATACATATCGCATAATTCCCTCTTTATTTCAGTTTTCTCACGTAAGCCAGGTGGTCGAAGAGGAAGCGAGAAGAAAAAGAAGAAGAAGAAGAAGAAGAAGAAAAATACGTACACACCAGTAGCAACGACTTGGTCATTCGAATACCTGTGTTGGCACGTCAACTGCGCGTGTTAAAGCGCAACAACGAAGAATGAAAAAGAACAGCTGGAACAGTCACGGGCCAACAATTAGAATACCCCTTCACGGATACTCGATATTCTACTGAAAATGTACGCGTGGACCAATCGTGACACGCGTGCACAATTTTCCTAACCACGCTCCGCGAAAGTCCAAATCCTTTTTTCAACAGGATTGTACACAGAAGTGCAATATTGGATTCTGTTTTTCCGTTGTCTCGCGTGGACGAACAAACAGTACGCGGAGCTACTTGGAATGCCGGGTCACGACTCGAAATACGAGATGTCGTGTAGGTATGTGGCGAAATGTGGTGGTCGGTTTTTATTTCGCTGGCGATCGCGGCTGGCACGATAACGTGATTCCAACCGGCGCCTATGAAATCGAAAGATGAGCATTGGTCGATAACGGGACACGGAGAATGCTTGCGCACTTTCGATCAGGGCGAATTCAAAATTCTAGATGGGCTTTAGAGATTTCGCGGAATTGCTGTCTATTGTTTGACCACCCGTCACTGTTTTCTTGGAAACTCTTCGTATAATTGCGTTTGTATTGGGATATTTGTAAAAAATTAAATTATTGGAATGTTATAATTAAAATATTGTTAGGAAAATATATAATATATTTTATGTTCTTTTCGAGTGTGTATATATCTATTTGATAATTATAAAATTAATTGTATTTGATCAATTGTTTAGTTAAGTTTGTTAAAGTTTTATGTATATATGTACGTATAATTTTGAGTGAGTTATGAGAAAAATATTAGCCTTTTGTAAGGCATATTTGATCGAACAACAAAAGTTATAAAAATCTTGAGAGTATTATTGTAAAAATTTATGTATTCAAAATGCCAAAGAGATATCTAAAGATATCTAGTACATTAACTATATAAAATGTGCATATAAAGAAAATAAAAGTAAGAAATTCAGATAATAATCAGACTAATAATCACTAAAATCTTTCATATGAATATAATATAAATCATAATGGTGTGGATGATCACGTGCTGTCATTATATAATCTCACGAATACGTGTTAACACCTTGTATATTCTGTATTCGATTAATTGGTCGTATACTAAATAATAATCAACGTTTTATTGTAATCTTATATGGATCAAATAACTACAACGTAATTACACCGTGTCTCTGTTCAAGATCTAGATTCAGAGATCAGACTTTTCGTTAAACCACGCCCACAACTTTGTCCTCAAAACGAAAAAGATCCAAGAATCTGAATACCACCGCGCCCATTATAGATCTAAATAAACGCGAGAGAACAGAGGCAAGGAAAACCGTTGATCACATCGATTTTACGAGACTCGAAGTATCTCTGGTATCGGCGGAAAGAACGCAGCGCCCGAATGCGTATAAACTGCGTCCAGATAACTGTATAAGTTGGCTCGAATATAGGCCAGTCGTTTCGTGTCGACGAACGCGATTCCGCGGCACGATTTCCGCGTTTTCCGCTTTCTGTTTGCTCGTATTCAGCATTCGAATCCTCCCACGTATCTCACTTTTATCACCGAAACTGCTCAGAAGACGATAAAATCGCGTACAGACTGGAATGATATGTATGCAAGCAATTTATATCAACATAGAGAGTAGGTTGAATTGTATTTCAACGATTTAATGACGGAACACCGATATAAGATCCTAGATACACATTGGATGCTGAAAGAAGATTGTGAATTTATATTGGATTAGTGTATAAGAAAAAAATAATGTTTTTTTTTCGAAATATCATAAATTATATATAATTCTATCCTATTTTATTTTTTAACCTCTTAAGAAATAAAATATTTTATTTATTGGTTAGTAATAAAGTATAGTAGTAATAGTAAATAACTATAAATAACTAGTTTTATTATTTTAAATTGACAAGAACAGTTAAATTAAACAATCTATTTTACATATTTTTTTGTTTATTGATTGTTTTAAAGTGATTTATTATATAAAAAGTTTGTAAAAATTAATGAATTTTAATGTGAAATTATGTATTTTCAATAATTTTTAAACACTTTTTGCGTATGATTTATACGTAATATAAATTTATAGTTAATTTATTTGAAGAAATTTTCACAAAATGAAATCGAAACTCAAGGAATGGTATTTCAAAACAGTGAATGAAGTGCTAAAATTGCAACAGGTGCATTTTGAAATTGGCAATGAAATTGAAAATTGATATTGAAAGTTCAAGAGACGATGTTTCACACCATGAACGAAGTAGTGAAATTGCAACAGGTGCATGATGTGATTGGATGATGTTTTCCAGCAATTAAAACATAACAGAATCGTAAAAATCGCTCAATGCAAACATGCCAAATTGCTCATGAACAATTTATATATTTATAACTTGCAATATATTTTTCATAACTTTCTAGCGATCGTTCCTAGCAATCTGTACACGGATTAAAGAAATAAGTTGCATGGGAATGCCTGAATCGGTATTGTGGATCAAGATTATAGAACAATTGGAACAGGAATTTCACCATGACTCACCATGATTAGCTGCAACGCCCTCTTCGTTACAATGTACATTTATCGCCGCCATTTTTAGATAGTTCGAACAGACATTTTTATCGAAACGATTATTATTATGATCAATTTGTCTTTGATTTTTATGGATCGAAGATGTTTCATTTGCGAAACATTTTATTGGGACATCGTGCCATCTGATTATAACTCGATTGAATCGATCGTTTCGGTTTATGAGCTTTGTGCGAATTCGTAAAATTTCGAAATAACAGGTTAACCGTACCGGGAACCGTGTTATTTGTGTGTATACAATGATGAGGAATCAAGACGATGACAATCGTCGAAATTTATTACAAGTTTTATAAATTTATTCTCATCGTTCCAATATCGTGACATTTACTAAATGATGATCGAGAGTGAAATAATACTTTCGACAAATAACGAATAAACAAAATTTCGTATTTTGTGTAAGTGTTAATTGGAAGAATAATATTTCCTGTAAGTATATTTTATTAATTATTTATTCATTATGATATGCCAATATAATTTGTAAAATAATCGAGTTTTTTTTAATGGTACAAACCATGATAATTATTGCGTAAATTCGATATAATTTTATTAGTGGAATTAATATATTTTCATATATCATAATATTTCGTTTATAAAAATATGAAATATTATTTGTTACATGAAATAATATTTGATTTTAAAATTGAATTTTAAACATGCAAGACATGAACAATAGTTACATTTATCGTTATATTGAATATACATAAATCTATAATAAATGAATTTGATTTTATCATTTTATAATTTTTATCAAATTATTTATCTATAGAAGAGAAATAAATATTTCGATAACAGACAAATAAATTAAAATTTGCAAGAACACCTAACGATATTGAAATAACTAAATAATGCTTGATGTATATTGATCCTATTGTTTAATTATATTTTGTTTCCATGATTATACAAATACTGTTATGTATGATATGTTTCTCTTTATTATTTTATAGATTTAATTTCTCCAGATTTATCGACCAGATAGTTGAATATCCGAATATTACGAATCAAAAGACAAGATTTAGTATTGATGATTAAAACTCGTCGAACGGATGTAATATTATTGAAAATAAAATTGATCTTATTAATCGAGGATTATCATTACACGTTCCATAAAATAAATTTACTGCTATATTGGTTTTTATGTAAGATCTTTTAAGCAATAAATAAATTTCACGATCGAGTATGGATCACCTCCTTCGTCATATTCTAACCTCCATTTTCTCCGCTTGTTTACTTCCTCTTTATCCGATCCACTCTATTAACCTCCTTTATCGACATGATACTTGTTTTGTTTAATTAATAGTGATATTTTAGTAAAACAGGATATCGGGGAAAAAAATTAAATTAAAAATAGAATAATGAATGTTGTTCAAATGTGTTTTTATTCAGAGTAATTAAATAATATAGGGCAATTAATTAGGCTAATACAATCATCTCTAACAAATAAAACAAGTGAATTTCATCTATGGCATTTAATAATATATAGTTAACAGAATATTTATGCAATATTTCTAAATATTTTTTTTAACTTGTACTAAATACTCAATATATTGTATTCGTAATTTATCAACTGGAATATTTTGTAACTAAAATTCTATTACAATTGTATGGTACGGTTCTAACATTTTCTCCAGTTTCAATTTTTTTTTATCAATAACTTGGATATTATTTGTAAATTACTATGATTCAATCAAATCAGATAGTCATATAAAATTTCAATATAAAATTTTTTATTATAAATATAGTAATTCTTGTCTCATCATACGACACACATTCAAACTTAAATTATTAGCTAATTCAGATTCCATCTTATTCACATTCCTTCGATTCAAATCCTTCTAAGGTAGCTTCAAATCTTTCTAAGGAATTAACCACTTTGTGATTAATGATCAAGGTCTAAATAAAGAGTCCAAGAAGAGGAAACCAAGATCCAACCACGGAGAGAGTGTGGATCATTAACCCCGGCGCGACCAATTAATCCTCGTTATTAGTCTGGAGGATTGCGCGCGTATAAAGGTGAGATAGCGTGCCGATGAAGGCGGCGCAGGCTTTTCCAAACGAACGATTGAGAATCTCGTTATCGAAGCTTTCCCACGCGTCTAAAAAAATCACTTCGAAGGGTCGATCGGACGACTGCGGTTCCGCGATTCAATCTGCCGGTGACGATGTCCACAGTAGAAAACTCGTGTAATTAGTCTCGACCTCGCGCGCATTACTCGCTTGCGTACATTATGACGGCGATGGGTAACGGTAACGATCGGCAAGGTTGCTGCGCCGTTCAGAGAAGTCCAGTCAAGTTCAAGATTTCGCCATTGGAACGAGCCGTGAATATTAGGTAGTGATGGGTACGATAT